ATTCCAGGAATGGAAAATGTCGGAGTTCACGAGACTCTTTACAATAGTATCCAGAAATGTTACATTGACATACGTCGACATCTCTATGGCAACACGGTGCTCTCTGGTGGTTCCAGCATGTTTCCCGGTATCGCCGACAGACTGCAGAAAGAATTTACAAATTTGGCGCCAAATACTATGAAGATCAAAGTCATTGCCCCTCCAGAGAGGAAATACTCAGGGTGGATCGGTGGCTCCATCTTGGCTTCTCTCTCAACCTTTCAACAGAGCTGGGTCAGCAAACAGGAGTACGACGAGTCCGGTCCAAGTATCGTCCACCGAAAATGTTTGTAAATGCATCGACACAAGCAGACTGTGTAGTATTGGTTTCAATGTCAACTATTACCTAATTCAATATTTACATATACAGTGTATACGTACATCGCGTGTTTGTAGTTTGACTAGACAATGATCGTCACCAAACACATGCCCAGACATACATTGAGATATTAGAAAGTGAGCATTTGCATAATATAAAAGTTTTTTACCAGCATTTTTTATTTATTTAAACGTTCAGTTGACCTGAATTCCGCAGGTCAGAAAATAAAATTATTGTATTTGTCATTATTCGCATTAGCGTTTTTTTTTAATTTTAGGTGTACATAAAAACGGTTTGTGCAATACAGATTATTGTAATTCTGTCCGGGTATATAATTATTAAACTGATATAAGTAAACTAGACATATTGTTGTAGATATGATTTTCTAGCGGCACTGCGCTGATGTGACGTAGCCGTTATGGACCAGTAACATTAAAGTGTAACTGAATTGGGCCAATTGACTTTTTTGTGTGCAAAAAATATTTATAAACAACATTATGAAAAAAAATCAAGTGAAAATGGTATATAAATTGGGTAAACAGTCAATGATATTCCAAAACCGGGCCACGCCCCCCTCTCCCGTCACCTTCGAGTTTTTTCGGCATTACGAGTGTTGCCGAAATGGCGCCACCAACGGGACCATAAAGCAGGAGATTGCTAGCAGACAAGATTGTTAACCATTTTCCATACGCAAGCGTTTAGTAAACCAGCATACAGTACAGTTCTTGCGAAAGCTTTGGCCTTTGTGGCATCATTGTCGCCTACGCATGGCTTCATTGTCGCCCCAGCATCGCATCATTGTGGCATCAGCTTCGC